GGCATTCGACATGGTTCCGAAGGATTAGGCACACTCGTTACCTGTACTTGAAGCTCAGTGGCAATCCAACAGATCATTCCAAACTCCATTAATACATAGCCAAGGAAGGAGACGGCTCTGATGTACCGGGCACTGTCCGTGGCAGTCTGCACAGGAAGAATGACAAACACTTTGCAACATTTTCTCGTGGTATAAATGCAATTAATTATAGGCAGCAAGAACCTCTAGAAGATTGGTAAACTTCTACCAGAGTACACAGCACACAACAACCCAGAAGACAGCCATCTTCAGACTCACCGCTGTGAAAACCTTGAATCCTACAGAGATTTAGAATGTCGAGAACAAAGTGTCGAGGAACATTTGGACGGAAGAGAGAGGAAATACGGTAAACGGAGAAAAATACAAAACGAGAAACTTCACAAGCGCCTAATAGCCCCTGACGACGGCATATTACATTTAGTACCCACAGTTTCTTCGACTTGGTCCTCTGTTTTGAATTCTACAAATGGAATATTATGTTTCGGGAGCTACATTTGCCCCGGCCTTCAGGTAAACTTCACCTATTCACTTGGGTCCGTTACAGAGGTCAGCAGATACGGACTGGGATTAGCCTTCTTCCACGGCCCTTTCACCTGAAGACGGAAGCAGATCCAGCTCCCGAAACGTAGTGTTCCATTTGTAGAACACGGGGCAGTGGACAATGTCTGGAAAAATGTAAATTAGTAAGCACCATTCCCCAAATATGTTTTGGGTGATTACGACTGCCTGGGTGGTTACACTTACAGACAGCAGCACGCCGATGAAGGCCAGAAGAACGGCAGTGCATAGCATCTGCATGAACATTACGGGACTCACACTTCTGTCCAGCAGCTTGGAGTAACTGGAAGAGAACACGTCTGGTGATAACACGAATAATTCTGTAATACGACTGTAAACAGCACGATAATCTGTTCGCATTTGAACAGCAGATCTATAGACATATGGAGTGATGTCCATTCTCGCAATAAAATTCACAGAGAAATATGGAGGAGAGAAAGAAATTCATCACGAAACCAGTAATCATCATTGCACTAGTTGCTTATCAATCCTTGCTTTAATGTCTACGGGGAAAGTGAACGCGATATAACAAAACAACATGTAATGTACGCTACAGGGCAGATGTAGAACAGCCCAAAGCGTTTCACTCTGCAATTCGATACACGGCGAGGTAAAAAAGATTTGTCCTCTAGCCTCTGCGTCCAGACCGGCTCTGCGACAGGATCCTGAATAAGCAACTTAACTGCTTACAAAACCCAAAAGTAGGGTGACTTAAGAGCGTGATACATTCACTAATTAATGCCGTAGTTCTGGAAATACTGGGGCTAACTCACTCCAGAAGAATCTGATGATGCTTGACACATTGGCTCAAGTACTTTTGCATCTCTTCATGAAACCCGACCTTTCCCGAGCTTCTCTTCACACTGTCGGCAAAAAATGTTGATCGACTGGCACATCTTATCAGTTGAGTCCTAGGACTGTGAGAGGAGTCAGTGTCTTCAGAGTCGTAATTTGTTGCAGTTCTACCAAAAGAGCCAGTACAGGACAACAATAATATCAGCCGGGGATTACTCAGATGTTTAATGCTGGATGCTTATAAATGGCGTGTCACAAATGGCACGGAAATTTGTGTGTAACAAAGTGAGCTAAATGGTGTGTCACAAATGACACGGAAATTTGTGTGTAACAAAGTGAGTTATAAGAGCCAATGAACAAACCTCAGAAAATTATTGTGTGCGCATGTCGCATATTTAAACTAACTGTAAGGATCACGACATTATTTGGTGCTGAATTTTTGCATATGGTACATGAAATAGAATGACTAACTTTTATATGAACCATATTTATATTGTTAATTTTTCAGGAAATGCAATACAATATCGATCAAGTACAAGTACGACTAACTTCAGTTTCAGTCCTTATCTTCGTATACCATTTACTTTAGATTAATTTGAATATCATTCCATCTACGCCTAGGTCTTTAAACTGATCTCTTCTATTCAGGTTTACCAACCAAGATTATGTATTTACTTTTCATCTTTCCCATGTGTGCTACATGCCATGGATTCTCATGCTCCTATTATGACGACCCTAATGACTAGTGAAAAACACAAATTACGCAACTTATTATACAAATATCTCCTGTTACGTTACTCCTGTCAGGTGCAAGTTAATGAAAAATAAATTCTCACCATAGATTTTAATATAACATTCCCAATACCAACTTAAATCACATTCCGTTCTAAAGATTGAATATTAAATACGTAGGCAGACGAATGTATGCCACTCCTTGAGTCTTCGCTTAAACATTTCCAGGCCTATGGTCTCTGGGAATTTTTGACTAAACTTAATGAACAGAAAGTTCTCTGTCATTTGCGGCACATCATTTATGGACACCCGGAGTACTATAAAACTTCTAGAGAAATCTTTCAGGCATTATATTCCCAACTACATAAATAATTAGTGTGACAATTTCCGATTAAGGGTCCAAATAAACTGTACGTAATTAGTCAAAATGTTTACCTGTTTTCAGGACGAAAATCCTGTTTCCCCTCAGAAAGTTCAGTATTAGAGCCACTGGCATCTGAAATATTACAGAAAGTAAATATATTCTGACGATGTGCAATGTTGTTCGAAGGCGTTTAAGGAACATTGGAATGTGCTATTTCTCTCCACTACTAAGTGGGTCACCGATTAGGAACAGCTCGGTCTATCGGGTCCAACAAAATATGTCTCTTTTCCTTCTTTAACCGAAGACGAATGAAGGTTCATCCTTCAAAACGTTGTCCTTAAATGATTTTAGGATTTTCAAGACTTTAAAAAAAATACGATGGATGAAGTCCAAAACAAAGTAATACAAGAGCATCGCCAAAGACATTAACAGAAGAACCATAACAGTTAACGAATAATGCTTACTTACCAACTGTTGTGGATGATAAGCTGTAGTTTACGTGGTTATTTAGCATTTTCGAAACGTTCGTCGCAGCCTGCTGTAAGGCATTGGCTAGAACAGCGAATTGAGCTGTTGTGTAGATTATAAGCGCCAGAAAAGTTATGTTCATGAGGGTAACACACCCGAAATATGCTGTCATGCTCAACAGCTCATATGCCGTAACGAGCTCAAAGTATGGAGTTTCTATAGCTTGAAATGGCAACCACTCCTTCATCCCAGACTCTCTCCGGATGGTCATTTGCTCGCCGGACATAGTAGAATTTGACTCTATATCAAATTTCGGGCGTGGTGGCGTATTGAAATATATGGATGACGTAGTCAGTGCATATGAAATCCAGACGTACATTGCTAGTCTTTTTGTAAGACGCATATAAGATTCTAATAAAGGCAATTCGGTGTCTGTATGCGGCCTTTCATGGACAAAATAGTTTCTTTCAAGAGAGTTGATTAGAGAAATGAATTTTGTGCGGTAAACGATTAATGTTCCCAGTTTCATGACGTTTTTCACGTGAGCTATTAGGAAAATAAAGCCGTCTCCCACGTCCTGAGGCCTGTCACGTAATATGTACATTTCTACCATGGTACAGATGACGTGCTGAGCGTGCAGAAATACGATGCCACTCTGCAGCATGAGATAAAGTGGCACTTCCCATCGTGACGACGAGCGAGAGTAATCTATTAAAATTCCAAAAAACCTCAACAGCTTTAAGTTAAAACTCAGAACATTTAGTGCCCTGAGACTTTCCGGTAATTCCAGACGATTCATTCCGCCTAAGTTCACGCTTTTACTCATCATAAATAGGCCTACGTTCTGTTTATGATAAGGTAACAAAGTATTCTTCCTCTTATTAAATCTATAACACAATAAGTACGTTTTAAGTGCCTTTAGTGTTAAAAATATAGCCGTGTACTGAAGTGTTTATGAAGTTTTTGTAAACGGTCGTCACTACTAAGTTTGTAATGTTGAACTTTTAAAAACTCCTGGAGGAAAACCGACTGAATATTTTCTTTAATGCTTGCTTTTAACGTACATACTGTATACATATGATGAGCTATTTCAGCTTTTTCCGTGTTTAAATGTGATGTAGTCGAAATATCGAATGTAAGAGACTAAACCGAAAAAAATTAAATAAACTTGTTCGTACAGAATCCTGTATCTTCTTTTTATCTCAACAATTTCATAGTATGCTTGAAACCCTACAGAATAGAATGTACACTTTTCAGCAAAACAAAAGTTGATCCTTCAGAGCTAATTTGAAGATAACTTGTCACCGTCGTACTTATTCAGACAATTGTTCCCTGTCATCTGACGAACAGAATATTCAGAAGTGCAAGGACTCTTCAGATGATGTCTATATTACATTTAGTCAATTACATTTTCTTTACTATAATTTACGGCACGTGAACAAAGTATAATGACAGACTGTGAGGTGAGGGAAATTTCCTCAAATGACCGCTAATCAGAAAGTTCTAGAACTTTCCACGTGCGTGAGTTGCTCGTTTAAACTAAAGAAATTAAAGTTCTACTGTGCTATTACAGCAATCAACGTTCGTTCTTCTCTGAAAATAAATATGGTGGGATCAGCGTGGAATAAAGGAATATGGAATAATTTTAATATAAAATTAATTATGGATTAACAGAAATTCTTCATTATGCTGGGTAAGTTCTGGCTCAGATTTATATAACATTTACAAGAAGGAAGAGAGAAAGGAATGGTCCAATTAGCTAGGCTTATTCTACTTAAGGTGTATAAATTGCAGTCTGGAGACAGAATATAAAATCTTAATGACACAGATAAGACTTATAGAACACCAGCATACAGATCGTTATAACGTCTTGACATTTTGCGATGACAAGAGACATCCAATTACAATAAGGGCAGCGAACTACTGAAAAAAGGAATTGCGTATTCTTGGCAGTCCCGTAATCTTACCCGCCTTCTCCGTACATCAGTTAAGCTACGCTGAGTTTGGTATTGTTAGGTTAGGATGGGTAAAATTGATTTATATAGGGTTAGGTTAGAGTTAGCCTGTTATTTGCTACATTCAGGATCTTCTAAAGGCGCAAGGAAGCTTGGCGTCGGTTTGCCGTCGCTTGACATCACGAGGCTTCTTTTCGCTTGGTTCAGAATCTTGTGTGGCTTCGCATACAGACGCTAGGCGTCATTTTGGAAGGGGGTTTCCAGTCGTATGACGACCCGATTCTGAGCATAACCTGATTCATTTTCTTCTCCGCAACCGGATAATAAGCGTTGTGACGCTCGACGCCGGGATCCCAGAGTCTTGTGTTCCATCCTAAGCCTCATTTTTGCAAAATGCGGGGCTTTGTAACGGCGACTGGGCGATATGTGCCGCGAAGCTCGGCGTCGTTTGCGACCGTTGTGTCGAATGTCATTTCCAACCATTTTCATAATGCAATAAAATATTTATGGCAGATTCTGTAGTTTTATATCCCTAAAAATTTTTTTTGCTTATGATGGGACTGATTACAGCTCACAAAATGGGGGGGAAAAAAAAGCTTGGAATCCAAACACACCCAGAAACAACAAGATGGGAGGATGACTTTAAGATTAACAGTAGACAGGTTGTAGTGATGGAGGATGGATAAAACTGACAGAGGATGCTGATCAATGACGAGGTTCGATATTAGCCGCGTAAACCGTCCAGATTTTGATACCGGAGATTTGGTTGGCAGAAATGTTAAGTAAGCAAGATAGTTAACTGGTATGTTTGCGAGCCAGTTGACAATTTTTTTTAAACACGCCTACAGAATTAAACATTTCTTTCATACAATGGATCAACTAACTCTATGGTAATGGGACTTGCTCAACAAGCTGAGAGTTATTCAGCTGATAAAGAGATTTCCTGGTTGTAATAAATCAGAGACCACTACCGCTTTCACAACAAACCCTCAACTAAATATTAACCCGAATTAATGAATCAAATCCAAAACTTAACACGTTTTATCGCTTTAACATCATTATTATTAGTAGCATTCAAAACAAAGATTACTTCCGTCAACTTTACCGAAGGAGTTTGTTAAAACTTTGCATACCGTGTAGTGTATTGGAATATGACACTAGTGTCATTTACAGTGTAATCAGTTTGTTTGTATGCTTATTTTTATGAAGGAATTTGTGTACGCATTCCTCACTTTTACCATAATACATGTCTAAGCTCCCTTAATAATGGCCTGAATAATATCAAAAGTTCCTCACTGTGTAATTTTCTCCATTTTCCTGCTGTTTCCTTTTTCATAGCATGCTTCATTGTAAATGCACAAAAGTATTTTGTAGTGGGAATCAATTATTTACCGACCTATGGACATTTTTGCTTTGTTGTAAAATTCAAACATTTAGCCTAAGAAAGGGAATACTGTATAGAATATCCAACTCATGCGATACATATTTTACGTTCATCATCAACAATATATGAGGATAAAGTCGCTAAGTGCTGCACATTGTGAAAAAGTAACCGTTCCATTTCCCCCACAAACTGTGTCATATATAAAGCAATTAACCATTTAGTGGAGTACATCTTAAACGTTTCCGTCCCTAATAAATTATCAGTCACTGCATAATAAAGATCTTCGTCACATTTACTCTCCACCAATTATTACGTGATCAAATCAAGGAAGAGACGGGTAGTACATGTAGCAGACATTGGAGAAATGAATTCATACAACCGGAAACCCTACGGACGGGACCAAACTGAAGACCTAAGCATAGATGGGAGGAAGTAGTAACATATAATCTCCATTGCATGCTTAAATATACATTCACAATCTATCAAGTTTATAAGTAAAAATTACACTAATTAAATATATATTTCTGTGCATAATTTCTAGTAATGCAGAATCTGGTGTTAGTGGACACAGCCTCTGTGTAGAGGTATCGACTAATAAACTAACAGTAAGGTTTTCACACATTACCTCAAAATTTCACATATTTGCCTCGATTGTGATTTTTAAGGATATTTCTGATGTTTCTTGCAAAACCCGTAAACATGATTGTGATAGACCGATATATCGTTTACACGTTTCACACTTCTAAGTGCAATATACTCTCTACCCAGAAACCACACAAATCGATGTGGAACACTGCGACACGGAATAAACAGCTGACGCTAAAACGGACCCAAACACAAAAAAGATCCAAAAGCGGATCGGTTCCAGGCTCGACACAATCATTTAAACCGTACAAAACATGGAAAGAAACATTCGTGTTCTTTTTTGTCAAATGATAAAAAAAATCAAAATTGGAAGCTCCTAAGCTCGAAACCGTGAAAACTGTAGAAACCTTAAAGTGCTGGAATATCCACCCTTGAAGCAGGATCGAGAAGTGTGTCTACAGATTCTACAGTTTCATTGTGACTGTCTCAGTGCTGGATACAGTTCGAAGACAAATTCTACCTGCCTGATACAGTACTTCCTTCTAGGAAATATTAGGACATCCTGATTCATCAACGTCAACACTAGGATGACGCTAGCAGCAAAACCACAGCTTCCTGGAAGGAAAGACATACAACCAGTGTTCCTGCAGTGGTGTTTCGATACATCACTTCTTAATGTGTTCTGATTTCTAACGTTTAGGTGTTTGGTTTTCAGCAACTCTACAGCAAGACTTAAGGTTTTAAAGGCTATTTACCGTTCAAGGTAAGATTGGGTGTAAATCTCTGATTAGAACATTAGTTATCAGCGACTGACCAGTAAAAAAAGTAGGTTTTTAAGTACATCTCACATTCTACAGTACAATATTAATAGTGCAAAAACCTAACAAATATTAGTGAGTTTACGTAAGTGTATTAAAATTCAAGAGACGCGTCTAACAATGTTTCCCTAAGATTTATTTTAATAGTATCTTCCCTCTAGGCCTCACTCTTCCGTGTGATCTGTTCCTTCCTAACGACGGTACGTAACAGAAATATTTTGAATTGTTATGTAATTGTATAAACTACTGAGACCTCTGTGTAAACAAGACAAGTGGACATACAAACATCTGAGGAGACTAGTGGGTTCGACAAAATATGGATATGAGAAATGCATTTCGTTTTCTACGTGCAAAGGGCAACGTGAAGGGGCCAGCAAACGATTAAGTTATCTAAAATATTGGAGGGGGCGCTGAATGGAGCTTTGCCCCCGGGCTTTTAGATGTCCTTGCACGACTATGGCAACATTACAAATTCATCAACAGATTCTTGGGTGATGCTGTGAACACGCTCCATGTCAACGCCTGACAGACCCACACAACTGTTCTGGTGGTATTGGGGAAGGTTTTGCAGCATCCTGAACACCGTTACGAATAAGTATCCTAGGACTATTTCACTTCTTTGGATCTACCAAATGGATTTTTTTGGGTAGAGATTTGTGAATGCCGATATTACTGCGGTGACAATATCATATGGCCCTGATTCCTTTGCGAAGGTCTTCAGTGCATGCCCTGCTTTTCCGCTGGAATAAGGGTTGGTAATTACGTGGAAAAGTGTTAGGATGTCCGCACGTGTTCAAGCAGTTGCATGTCTGGGGTAGTAAATACCGTTTCAGTGTCATTATGTACCTCACGTTCGAAACATTTCTTTTATATTCCCGTTGGGGGAAGAGAATCACATTTTTATACTACTTTCGCACAGCAATGGATCGCTTTGTTAATTGAAGAGCTGCCAAGCAACACAACAACGACGACCGTGAATAGCTTTATGTACTACACAAAAATAGGTTATAGTCACACATAAACCATACCAGAGAGTGAAACCCGGAAAGGCAAAGAATTCTGAACAGCATCCTAGCAAGCATTTCCCGAATTTAATCTGTCATCAATTTCTTCATGATGACAAATTTGATTTGTTACCGTCGTTCCCACATACACGAACGTTGCTGAATTTTTAAAGTATTGTTAATTTGTGACCTATTTTAGCATAATAATGTAAAAACCTAGCAGGTAAGACTCAAAACATTCATAAATCTAATAATACGAAATGTGCATTTTATTACAGATGCTACTCCGACCTCACATTCTTTTGGCTGTAATCTTGGTGTCCTGCGTACGAACAGAGAATCTTCTCCATCCTGAAGACACAAACGGGAGAGAATATGTACTCAGAAGTCTCAGCAAATTAATCACCACCAACCAGATGCTCAACGAGAAACTTGAAAATGCTTCAATAGAAATTGATGGATTTATATTCAGTCAGAACGAGTCTGCAGCCCGTAGGACGATTGACATCGTTAAGGGGTACATAGGCGGAAGGGAGGAGTTCATAGCGCAAATACACGCTGTGAATAATGATGCAAACAAACTAAACCTGACGCAGAGCATGCTACGTTTGGGAAATTCCTCGTTTCTCAATGAAGTGAGGTGGAAACAGGAGTTAAATCAGACTAAGAACGAGTTATCAAAACTTGAAAAAGTTTTAAAATTATACAAAATGTTACTTAAATTGAACGAGACAAATGAATACGCCAACAATCTGACAAAACAATTTAAAGAGGAGGGTAAGAAGAGACAACTATCGAATGCAACGCATTTAGCTCGAGAACTTGTGCGGGAAATAAAGTCCTTTATCCAAGAAGTGTCTAACGTAAGGAATTTCACAATATCCCACAATCTGACGGGAGTAATTACAAACTTCTGGATTGAACAACTTTTAGACATACAATACTGGGAATATCTTCTGAAAAACAAGACGGAAGATCTACTTTTGCTTGAGAAAACAAAAATCCCGGTAGCAGGCCTCATCAATAAGTATGTTCGTCCCACTCTTTTCGTCATAATTTTTGTGGTAGGACTGGCTGAAAACGGAGTGCTCATCACTATTTTCGCTCGCTATCCCAAAATTCGCAAATACAGGAACATGATTATCCTCAACCTCTCAATAGCTGACACACTATCTCTTATTGTCAATCTGCCTGTAATCCACTTGTACGATTCGATATCATGGAGTGTGAGTCTAGAAACTGCTCAGGTATTCATGTTTTATCGGTTCCTTTGTTTCGGACTCAGCGTCTTCTCGGCCCTTGCACTCTGCTTGCAGCGATTCTCAACTACCCTCAAATACTCGGCTCGCGGCGGATTTATCCTCCGACAGTCAACAAAACACAACTGCATTATTCTAATTGCGACAGTATGGGTGCTCGCCATATTATTCGCTGTACCCCATAGTTTGTACAGCTGTCTTTATTTTGAGCAGTGCTTCAACACAAATGTGGAACTCCATTCCAAAATTGCGATCACTTTGTTCTCAATCGATCTGATAAGCCTCTCCATAATTCCTGCAATAATAATCACAATACTCAACTGGTTGACAGTTCGTCATCTGAAACTTAGAGGAGAAAGTCTTCCAGTAAGCATGCCGGAAGATCAGAAAGCTTATCAGAAAAAATTACTTTTCAGAAGCAAAAATATCTTAATACTAACTCCAATTATCTTTGCTGTCACTTCTTTACCCTACTATAATTATATAACCATAGCTTCTTTCTTGGGTACAGATATAAATTCCCTCTCATACACGATAATTAAAGGAGTCTTATATTGCATGATATTTGTGAACTGCAGCTTCAATCCTGTGGCTTTGTATTTCACAAGTGGAACCTTCAGATGTTACATCAACACGCATTTCTTCTTCTGCAAACGGCACAAGAATAAACACAGAAGACAAGAAAAACAGCAACTCCAATTTAATACAGAGAATAACACAACGGAAACTCCTCTGTAAAGTGCATACGTTTCTGAAACGAAAATATCCAAATATTTCATGGGCCCACAATAATCTAATCCTCTAAGGCTAAACGCCCATTTCGAGGTATGAAACCATTTTCTCGGCACACAGTAACGACAAGGAGTTACAATCACGTATTGCACGAATGCACAAATATCTTTCTGCGTCAGCAGTCTTTTAGTGTTAATTTCTGTAAAAGAACAAGCATCAACCTTCAGAACATTAAAAGAATATGAGAAATATGTTTCTTATATGACCGCCATGTTCTCAGAGTTGCAAAAAATGAGTTTACCTCTCATTACTTGACCTGACGGGAATGAATTCTCGATAAGAAGACAATTATACGCTCTGCTCCCAACACATTTAAGGAATTTAATTTCACACGAGGCCGTCAAGATGCACGCAGCTGTTCAAGATTTTCTTCAATACAGAGCATCAGCTACCCCTTCGATCATTTGAATTAACTGACGAGTTCTTCAGAACAGCTGGTAGCTTCTAGATTTCTGTCGCGGTGAAAATTGTACTTAATCTCCTGCAATTATAAATTGAGCGAAAATATAATGTTGTATATAAAGTTATAATGCAAACTTGACAAGTTTAGCATATGTATTACAAACATACATAAAATGGGCATGTATATACATTATTGTAAATTTGAAATATATTTCCAGAAATGTAAATTCTATTGCAGCCTGATTAAAAACCATATTATTCTCAGCTATACTGCTCTTCTTGCACAGAATGTTCCACATTAAACGTAGCCCTAAATACAAGAGTATTTGTAAGCTTTGGTGACGTCAATACAAGAAGAACAAGTTATTTGTTAGGACAAATTTATAGAACAGTCGGAACTTCCTTGTCAGGATACGTAATGCTATATATTTTACAAATAGCATCAAACGATTTCAATGCGAAGTAATGTTCCAGAAGGAACACACGTTCTGCTTGTGAATACACCTTGTTGGCACCTGCACAACTGGCGTGAGCAGCGGCCTAGCAACAAGAATGATCTTGACTCGAGTGTCACACGGACCTGAACCTGCTTTCGACTTAGTTTTGTATCGCAGTGCGTGAATGTTGTTGGGTTGCGTTTTAAACTGCACCTTCTGTACACTGCACTGGAAATATGTTCTTCGTTACACTGTGCAGACTAGTTGAAGCGTAACGGGTGAGCGTAAAGCAGCTTTAGGAATATACAATAAATTACTACTTAATTTTATACAGATGCTACCAGAAAGTAGTCTGTCCTAGACAAAACTAGAAAATTCTGAAAGGTGTTTTGTCTAGGACGAACTACTTTAGGCGGATTTAAGGTATTTCTGTTAAGATAAAGTTTTTACTATGCGTAAGTACTACGTCACGAAGACATATCGGGGTGACGGTAAAGATCCACGCGTTTTAACCTAACATTAAATGGAGATGAATGACTAGTTACACCGCCTAATGCACTGCCCCCTGGAAACTGCCGAAGATAAGAGCCTGGAACCAGAGGCGAGGAGAAAAATCCCTGTCTCTTCTTTGGGGTAGGGGGGAGGGTCTGTCGTCCAGCACGTAGCCAGTCGCTTTACTGAGTAATTTCAGTTGATTTAAATTATTCGTATATAAAATAAACGACAGAGACTCTCATAAATCACACAACAGAATAAGCCTTTCGAATCGTTCGTCCCTACGCAATACACATGACCTCGCGGGAATGCAAGGTCGTAGACTACTGAGCGTTCACAAACCAGCGTGTTTGTACAGACCATATGGGACAGAAGACTTCCTCAGACCTAGCAAATGATGATCGGGAGGTCACAGATTCAAATCAAAGTCCGAAGACCAGCTGTCCTGACTGATGATTTTCGCCACCTTCCTCAGTTTTTAAAGCTTATATTGGAATATCTCGAAACGGTCCACGACTACCTTAAAAATAATTTCATATTTACTATTCTTAATCATCTACTACACTTAAGCTATGCTGCTAAAACCACGTCCTTAAATGGACTATGGTAATGGTATTTCAAGTGCACAACTTATGAAATGTCGAATAGCAAGGTCACTGTGAGCAATAAATTACAAAGTATATGAAACAATGACTTCGTGGCCTAGTTTAAGACACTTCCCCTCCGCATCTGAAGGGAATAGAATAAAACACAGGAAACCACAATCAAGATAACCGAGATTCGAGCGCGGGACCCCATTAGTACGAAGCAGCGAGTGATATCACCTGACTACGACATTCGATGTGATGATAGTGTTTTGTACGAAGCGGTAGTTTAAACCTTCCAATAAAGTTTAAGGAAGTGTCAGATAACAGCAAATGGAAAAGGAGCACTGAGTTTCCGTGGAATTTTTTATTCACGTAACTGACGCAGCAGCCAGGACGCCTTCTCAACGCCGGGCCTGGGTAGGGCTCCAGGGAGCTTGCAGTGTCCTTCAAGGCCGACCACAGTAACGTTCCAGCGTGCTACGAATATAAATCTGTTCTCATGTTCCCATCAGGAAGAAGTCTGCTGGTAAGTTAGCACAATTCATACTTCAGTTTTCATAGCAAAATGCCTTTTTAGCTGCTATTGTTGGAAACCTACTTATAATTCATTTATAATACTTAAACGTGAGACACAAGTTCAACTTGACAGGCACCGTTCAAGCTGTGTTAAAAGCGGAATCATTCAAGATCTTCTCGTCTTGCAAAATCATTTAAAATAATTGTTTCCTCATTTTGTTTAGTTTTGTCACGATTTTCACAAATAAGAAGTTATAGGGAAGATTGCAGGAAGTATTCTCATCCTGTTACTTCCTAATTTTGTGAAATTATATGCGAGTTTTATTCATTTTAATGACATGAAAAGAATTATACAAAACTGTTCAAAGTACACATAGTATTTAAAACGAAGAATCTGCTTTTGACATTAAAAGAATTAAACACCTTCAAGAAATCCACACTTTAATGTAGCACGAATAATCAGTCTTTTCGTGCATGGTTCATTCTGTGAGCATGAATCTCACAAGTATTTTATTTACCTGTGTTTTATTATAATAGTTGCATTAGTTGCCCTATTCCTTACTTTAGTACAGTGAAGAGTTTTGTTTTCTATTCGTATTTGCAAAGGTACCTGTAAGGTTGGTTTGCTGGAGTTCTTAAACACTTTAGTGTCAGAACAAATTGTTTGTTACGGACCATCTTGTTTCTATTTGTTTCTTATTTGATTTAACAATGCGTCAAATAGGAGAAATATTATGATTATGATGGATGTTAACGGAAGCTATCTCAGCATGTTTTAAGGTTCTACTCCAGTATCTGGCTGAAGTAAGTGATAGACGTTACGAAACACCTCAAGAAGAGATAGTCGGCCACCGAACTGATAACTGAACCCGCGACCAATAGAATACGGCAAAGTGCCAACAACTTCAAAGCGATTTTGTGTCGAAGTTCTATTTTGACATGCGAAGATTTTCTATCCATATTTAGTTTATGCATTTCTTTCTTTCCTTGGCAGTAAGTAAAGTTTAGGTTTGGGGTCGAAGACTTGACATTTTAGATGACTGCAGAATAAATCCTGGGCCGTTAATTAAATCGATTCACTTTATAAACTTTTATTACAGCTGTTGTGGCGAAGGATAATTTCAGAAAAAATAGAAAATAAAGCAGAGTAACTGGGTACAACTCCAAGCCCGCCAGACTTCTCAATGGTAACCGGAAGCCAAGATGTTTCTCATTAATGTTCTTCCACCGATAAAATTAATCCGTAAGAAAATTCCTTACCGTCTTGCCTTCTCTCGGTAAATGCTAATTCTGTTACTCGAAAACCCAACACAAACTTGGACCCAATAATACACACGATTAGTTTCCATCATCTTATTTTTGGCGAGAACAGCTTTTTCGAATTTTCAAAATTAACCATCATAATCGAAGCGGATTGCAGTTTGTGATGGCCAAGGACAGAAAGTTCTGTACGCAACGATCGTGTCAGACAAACAGGATTTTGTTCGCCGTTTAGGCTGCGGTTTTCCTTCAGAATTATCATTTCCTCGTCAACCACATTCAGGCTGCACACACTAATAACAATGGCATTTTCACTCGAAATTCTAGCAATGACCGAAATCTTAACTTCCCAAGGATTTTCACGCCTCTGAAAGCTGCCTTGTGTGCGAAATTTTCAAAGCCGCAAATGATGCTATGACTCAAATGTTTAACAGTGGTGCGTTACATTCAATTTTCTTTACTAAATCCGTCTTTTCGCGTATTAAAATGAAGCCACGACGTTCCAGGGGCTCGTTGTGCCCCCCCGTCTTCAGGCGATGAAATCTAATCTGTTGGTCCACTAGAAGGGGATAACTGGGGTTGACTGGTCAAGGCGATTTATTGTCCCCAGAGGAAAAGTCCCCAGCAACGGTTCCACAGGTGGCTGGACTGCCCTCAGAACGGGTTTGGACTCTATATATTTATTTGTAGTGTATTTACGGACGATGTCAGCAATATATAACGTCTAATGATAGAATGATTAATGAAAATGTACCAGCTATATCGATATATCGAAGTAGCTGGTATATTTTCAGTGCACTCTAATTCACATAAATGGAAAATGATTCATACATCATTTAAGTACTTTGTGTAAATATGACACTAATTAAGCGATTCAAAAATAAAACGTGAATTGATAAACGTTGTATTTTATATAAATCCCGCAGAATGTACTGTTTGCTTTCGACGTAATTGATTGCTACCCTATGTAGTAAGACATTTAATGATATCACAAAGACACACAAAATTATTCAGTAATTATTGTCAGAGCAATTAACATCACATTGTCAGATAATTTTATTTTATCGTTCTCCTAAAATCCGATCAAGTTAATCGATTTAGGTCAAATGCGTGAATGTCGGATTTCAATGTGTGTACTGCTGATTTTTACATTTCAGAGCAGTGAGAGATTTTAAATATCTTAATGGATCTTCAATCTCCACCACGCATTTGTCGCACTGATCGAACCTGTCAATTTGTGCACCCTGTGGTATAAACAAACCACTAAACACATACATGCTCTTAAAATGAAATCCTCGTAAATAACGTTCGTTCTGGAGGCTAATGGGACAGAAGCTAAATCTGAAAATAAGATCAATACATCTTGTACGCTGTTTTTGGCAAATACCATTAACGTAAGGGCAAGGAGGGTAACCGGGGCTTGCAAAATAACATAAAAGTTACAGATGCACAGGGTAGCTAACTTGATCTTAACATTAGTTAATAAATGAACGCGATCACAGAAAAAATACATCACCACTACGTCAATGTATAGTTCACTGTGAGTTAAACTGTTAATGTTTTTAAAGATGTATCACACATTTATCTCTAAATAAATGTTATTCCTTTTCTGTGCACAACGTAACAACGAATGTGACTCCATGAAACACTAACATTCCCATAAAGTTTGACGAGAATTGCACACTAACACTAAGAAATCGATTGTATTGAAAAACATCGAACTTTATAATAAGTTGTGACGAAGTTTATGTATATATAGCCCACAACAGATCTATAGGAATATAGTTAAATTAAAACGCTTTAAATATTCACTAAAGTTCATGAAGAATGGCATTACTTGCATAATTCAACCACATACACCAAGAAACAACATTTTCACAGTGCTGCCCTACATTTTATCCAAACGAATCACGCTCAAAGTAAATAAGTAATTTTCCTTGCATGTATAATCATTTAACTACATCCAAAGACATTACAAATAAAATGTGCAAATCTTAATAAGTTCAGCATCATGCTAGGTGCCTATTTCTTTTGCACGATGAGCTGCTTTAGAGATCGATAAAAAGTTCAATTTGTGCGTCATGTAAAATAGACATATTATACAGCATAATTTCCTAGTTTTCATTCACACATGCACCAAATCGAAACATTCTTCAATTAAAGCATCTTAACTGCAATGAAAATATATATTGTTATACCCAGGTTTTTATCGCATTATTTACTTTAAATGTTCAGATTTTAGTAAAGTAGATATTTAAATACAATGACACAGAAAAACGCTGGCATACATTCAACGCTACTAGACTTCCAGCAATCCCAGACCCTAAACGCACTGCTCTGGGCGGCCGCTGAAGTTATAATGCACAATATAACCTAACTGTCTTATACACGTGCTGTACCCTGCATACAAGCTCTTCGTTTTCAAGGTAGCGTATCAGGTGACATTCTGTTTACCTTTCGGATTGGGAGAAACGGACTGATGTTCCGTGACGTGTACCATCGGTGTAGAATGAGAGGGCAGACATGGCAGTTTGATTTGGATTGAGTCTAGTCAATTATAAATAAAACCCAGTCTCTATGCAGTATAATTATTCAGAAATAAGTTACATATTACTTTGAACTGTTTCGTAAAACTTACCACACGACCTTGGTTATTACTGGAAACATGTAAAGTCCGTAAAGCAATGTTTGTTTTATAAAAGTGATTAAAACAAAAACGTGCATCTCATCTATCATTAACATGCCATGTTCAAGCAAGGTTTATTTTCACAAATGGCGTACGTTTTATTCTGTAAACCTTCTTTGTCTTAGTGTTTCTGAAAAACAGAAAACGAAGAGAAATTGATCTGTTTATTATCCATTACCTATGGTTTTGACAAAAACAATAATAAAATTATATTCTATTATATTTCAACACGTAATATGAAGGTTCAACAACTATTTTTGTAGATCAATTACGAAATTAAAATACTATTTCGATGGTGGTAGACCCTGAACTAATGCGACAATAGTTCTATAAAAATTTGCTTATGTAGAAAGCAAATATTCGTTGCGAATATACGAAATATTCTTACAGTAATCATGCTGTTATTGATATTTAAAAATACATTACGTGACATGTAAAATTAGTCCACGATCTACTCTATATATAAACTTCGTACTAACGCAGGCCCAACAAACTTTGATCACAATTCACGCCATGATAACCACTAAACAATGTAACTAAAAACCTTGCCAAACTCCTGTAGAAAGCATTCACTAGCAACGAACTTGTACAAGAAAAGTGTTAACGAAAATGAGCAAGTATATCACACAGATGGAAACTACTTTTATCACACACAAACACAGAAAACACTGAAGATGGCAGAGAGCAACCACCTAGCTCGAAGGACTGCTCAAGGGAAGTGACGTATTCAGCAATCGAGAGTCGATTTCATGGTAACTTGTAAAGGTCATTCACACCCATACCAATCCATGACATTTAGTATCTTCTCCACCCTCCCCAACTTTAATAACTATCTACCACCTGGTAAGTTAGCAAGTTTTATAAATTCCATCATTTGTCACCACAATACACATCAAAATATCCCTAGCGTTTTAAGCGCGTTTTATATGTAATTTGCAATGTTATTACCACTATACTGTATGATTTATATTAAAACGTAACATATAGATCTACTTCAAGCTTTCCATCAGCCATTATGATGCCAAGTCATTTGCCATTACAAAACATGCAATGCAATCGTCACTGTTTCATAATTTTAATATTCTTTGCCATGAGACACTATAATCTGACAGACTGCATATACTTTCAGCAGAATTCATAATGCCACATTATGTACCATCACACAACACATCTAATGTAGCCCTTACCGCTTTCAGTGAGTTTCATAATTTGCATACTCCTTATCACTACAGTACAATCACACATACTTACACTTTTCAGGACGCTTCGTAAAATCACAAATGCCATAAACCTCTGTGAAAATTTAAATACATAGGAATAAATCATAATTTAATCTTGTAGAAATAAGAGTGTGTAAATTTGGGCTGGATTCATTGGCTTACGGTGGGGTCCAGTGACGTTTCATTGTGAACAAGGTGATGAACCTTCACATTACATAAACTTCAAGGAAGTTATTGACAAGTTGAGCAACTATGGGGTTCTCAAAAATTCTGCGACATGGAATTAGTGAGTAAAGGATAAGTTTAGGATAAGTAACTCTTAAGCTTTAATTGTTTTATTTCTTAAATTTGATGACCTCATGAAGCCGGCACTCTGTGACACACTATATAGACCACATTTAAAAACTTATAATTGGTATAAACCCTAGATGTAAGAAATACCAAGAAGTTGCAGTCGACTCGGACGGAGGAAGAAAGAATACAAATTCAGGGGGGGGGGGAATTTATTTTATAGAAAGACAGGTACGCATCGAAAGGAGATGTGACTGCAAACACTAGTATAACATTAAAAAAATGCATCTTAGGGAAACAGAATGTGAAATGTGAAAGAATCTGAAACGGACGGAACTAGAATCAATAGCAAGCGAGTTTTAGTATTAGCGGTAATCATTTTAGTCTTCAAATATGGCTGTCTTCTAGAACATAGTATAGTGTAATATGGCAGATAATGACTGACGTTTCAGAGTGCGTTACTGCCTCAACCATCAGGATAATAACATGCATAACTATGATGGCGGAGGCAGAAAGCTCCTCTGAAACGTTTGTCAATACCTACCAGACTACACTGTGGTACATCCCAGAAGACAACAGTAAGAACCTTGGATACAATATATTTTTATGTAAGTTTCAAAATTCTCTAATATCAATATCACCGACTCGATATTATAGAGTCCTTGAGTAGTTAAAAGTTATACAGTTACTTGTTATAGAGTCCGCATTTTCATCACCATCACCAAAAAATGATTTTCATTATTATTGATTGCAAACGGTGATATGTTCACAGATAATATACCTGGCTGTACAACACCTGTCCTTGACGGTCAACTTAGAAGTACTATGTTCCATGGACATTAAGAAGTCTACCAAAAGCACAGGCCTGGACACCTTAAGAACTGATTACACTTCCACAGAATCTGATCAATACGCCACTGCCACTATATACAACACTATAAAAGAAAACAATAATAGTTCTTTCTATACATATATGCCAACAGATGACCATGGTAATATCGATGAAAATAAAATACATTTGGGCAATATGTTAAATGAACATAACAAAACTACAATCCCTGATGTCTTTAATTATCAGCTGAAATCCATACATACGGACGTCTACAATAAAACCAACGACAGAAATAAAACATGTGACGAAAGCATGAAAATCTTGATTAGAAATGAACTAGAAGAATTTAATATTTTAAACAATACAATCAAAATCATGCTCGAAGAGGTTATAAATGGCACTTGGTCATACATCAACAATCACGACGAAGATGTAGGATGTAACGCCACCAATTTAGGTCGAGAGTATTTACAGCGGAAAAGTAATTTCCTCGTTAGAATAAAAAACATCAACACATTTATTGATAATTTTAACTGTACACCTATACATTTACCAGAGGAAGAATACGAAGACGAACTTCGAATACATAAAAATATAATTCTAAAATTTAAGTATCTGCGTGATTTAATAAGCGATTACTACAAAATTCATGAGGCAAAGGAAGAATCTGACAATATTATTGAAAAATACAACACATTTCGTTATCTTACTGATCTCAAAAAATCAATTGAGATAGGAGAATCAGTGAAGGCAATGATATACAGCATTCTTCAAAGCGTCCAATTCATAAACAGTTTCACACAAGCCAATAATTTAGAGGATATTTATGAAACTGATTTCACAACAGAACTCCTCGATTTAAATGTGTGGAAATTACAATTAGACAACAAAACGAAAGAGTTGGAACAACTTAACAGATACCTAGAAGATGAATCGTTCAGGGTTCTGATGCAAGAATATATACAGCCCACTGTACAAGGAATAATCTTCGTGATTGGTTTCGTCGGGAACGGAGTCCTGGTGCTTATCTTCGCCAGGCACAAAGATACACGAACAGTTCCCAACATTATGTTGCTGAACCTGGCTGTTGGGGATTTGCTTAATCTCATAGTAAACATCCCGACATTTTACTCCTATTCCATATCGACAAAATGGCAGTTTGGATTATATCTGTGTAAAACCTACCGTTTTCTTCGTCAGTTGGGTATCGGCGTCAGTGTGTACTCCATAGTAGTCATAAGTGTTCAGAGATTCATAGTCGTGACTGAGTCCATCACATTTCGAAGATATGGATGCCAAATACCGAACAAATTGAAAGTGCCTTTACTAATTTCAGTCGTTTGGATTATTGGTTCTATGATTGCCATACCTCATACTGTCTATGCTGGAATTTATGAAGGTAACTGTTATGGAGCTTCGGCTGAACATCACTATTACCCGAAGGCTATCACTTTAATAGATCTCCTTTTCTTCTGCCTCATACCTCTTGCCATAATAATCTTATTGTCAGTTTTGTCAGCTCATCAGTTGAAAAAAAGTGTCCGAAAACTGCCCGGCGAAACCATAGGAATGGAGAAAGTTATAAAAATACGAATTGTTAGTTCAAACGTCCTGATAGCACTGGCAATTCTGTCAGCGGTCAGCTATATTCCACTCCATCTGCTATTTTTTGTGTACGCATGGACCGACTTCAGCATCTCCCAGTCAACGTACTACGTAGTTTCCCTCATTACATACACTCTTATTTTCGGAAATTCTTGTTTCAACCCAATAGCACTGTATATGGTTAGTAAAAAATTTAGACGCTACTTTAACACATACCTGTTTTGCAGAAGAGAAAGGAAAGCCAGTGAAAGCCAGAATCAGGCACCAACAGGAATTTCTGCAATAATGGCCGAAGATACATTGTAATTACGTTGCCAATTAGTTCTGGACAGAGGGACTCGCTCTACAGTAGAGATAATTTTTAGGCTTTTGTAAACGTGTAATTTAGACAAAAGCAGCATTTCCGTCATCCTCATTCAAAAACTTCTGTAAGCGTGACTACAAGACGCGGGGCTAAGATGTTTAACCCCTCAAAACCCAGTGGCAACAGCATGCACCACGTGCTTTAACAATCAGAAATTCTGCATTTCTTATAATATGAGCATTTTTAAGCTTATATTTGTACTATTTTCCCCCATTAAAGGCTATACTATTGTCATAAGAAAAATAACAAGAATACAATTTACCCAGTCACTTTCATGTACATACATGTGATCTTAAAATAAAGAGTGGTTCATGATAAAACAGCCGCATTCTTTTCATTTTGAAGGCCCCTATCCGTAAAACTGTTCTATTCTCCTACCTATCTTATCTAAAGAGAGGCGACTTTAATATTTTCATACCGATCTTGTTGAAGAAACAAGGTTATAAAAGTATATAGCATACACCTAACAGACGAGTTCAGAAGAAAGAATAGGTAGTATATAATATGCTAGCATCAATGCTTGTTCCTAGTATTTATAATAAAATAAGATAAAATAAAAAAATATGAGAAAGGGAAATTATATACTGTAATTCAGGAGGTACTTCACTTTAAACAATTAATACCCAAAGGAGTAAAATATAAGCAGACAATTTCTAATGAATCAAGAATTTACTTTCAAATTAATTTAGAGGATCAACATATAAACACACACACACACACACACACACACACATATATATATATATATATATA